AAAAGTAGAAAAAATGGGGCTGGGGAGATAGCTCAGTGATCTAGGCGCCTGCCGAGCAAGCACAAGGACCCCAGTTCAATTCCCAGTACTACATGCCATGCCAGGTTGGTCCCAGAACCCCAGGTATGCTGTGCTGGCCACCAAAACCAGGCATGGTGGAGCACGCCTGTAATCCCAGTGCTGGGGAAGCTGAGACAGGAGGATCACTATGAGTTCAAGCTGCATAGCAAGACCCCATACCAAATAAATAAATAAATACATTTTAAACAAAGAGAGAGAAAAGTAGAAAAGAGAGAGAAGGAAGAAAGAATGGAGACAAAGCTTCTGTAAATAGGAAGGGGAGGAGGGGTTGAATGGAGGTAGGGGAATGGGAAAAAAAGAAATAAGTTCTGTCACGTACAGGTACAAATTCCTCTGTGGAGAAAGTGATCATTATCTATACCTAAAACATACCAATAAAATCTGATTGGAAGAAAAAAAATAGTTCTCTTTCCATTGTCTTTCTGCTTCAGCTGGATTCCTAGATACCTAAGTGATAGGTTTTTTCAGGTAAACAGCACAGCAGAGAAACAGGCAGAAGGAAAAAGGGAAAGGGGCTTTATTTTCTTTGAGGACACAGAGAGAATTTAGGGAAGATAAGAAATTTTCTGATTGAAACAAAGGGAGGCTGAGGCTTTTATGGCCTGGTGCCAGGGGTGGAGTTTGGAGGGGATGTTGAGATATCCCTGAGGGAGCTGATTGAGGTCTTCCCTGAGGCAGTGGGAAGGGTGGAAGTAAATTATGTCCTAGGCTAAGTTGGAGAAGAAGGGGGAGGTGGTCTTGGGGAAGGTGGGCTTTTGTTTTAAGGGTATCAGCCATATTGGATGACCACCATAATGATTTTATCAATTTATACCAAGGCCAGAACCTATCATAAGGTTGCTGATTACTAGCTATGAGGGTCCCGGGGTAAGGCACTGAACATTTTCTAAACTTGGTTTCCTCATCTATAAAAATGAGTGTCATAGGGCCAGCCAAATAGCTCAGTGGATTAAAGTGCCTGCTTAGGCAGATGCAGGGGCAGGTGTTCGATCCCCAGGAGTGCGCTGAGATGGCGATTGAGACTGAGTGTGGTGGTGCGTGCCTGTAATCCCACAACTTGGCAGGCTGTAAACAGGCAGATCTCTATGAGTCCAACCTACGTAGTGAGACTCTGAACACCCTGTAGACTGTTCTCTAAATACAGAAAAAAAAAAAAAATGAGTGTCAGGAAAATAGGGTTTCCGTGAAATATTAGGCACCCAGATCCATGAACTCCATCATGGTATATGTATTGCTTTTTTTCTCAATAGGCCATAGGATAGAGGTGAGAGAGAAACACCTCCAGCTTAAATGTTGTGGACATTCTGGAACCAAGGATCCCACCCCACCAACCTCTGGTCTACTTATGGAACCTGGCTGTCTGCCTATGGCCAAGTGCTGAATCACTACTCTGGCTTCTTTTGCTTGAAGAAAAGAAGAAATCAACACTTACATGCTAAAGATGATTGGAGGAGGCAGTGACAGAAGAGGCCCTGCCCATCTTTGGAAGGCCTGTTGTTCTTCAACCAGACTAAGAGACGTATTCCAACCAAGGTGAAAAGGATTCTGTGGAATCTAGTGTAGATAGCCCTGAAAAAACTGGAACACACTTGTTATGGGTTTGTGTCTGCGTGGCCTCCCAAAGTCTCATGTGATCACAAGGGGAAGTTTTCAGGGCAGCTAGATCTAGAGTAAGGGATGCTGGGATGAAGCATAGGGTGCTGGGGTCAAGGGCGTGGCATTACTAGGTCAGTCTACTGACTGGTTTGGCATAGCTCTGGGGGTGGATGAAGGAAAGGCCCTCCCTGGGTATGAACACATAGACATGTCTCCCTAGCTAGGACAGACAGAACAGAAGGGGGCTGCTGGAGTTGCTTGCTGCTCTCGCAGCTGCTCGCTGCTGCGCTGTCTCCTACCTGCTTACCGTGTTCTCTTTCTCCTCTGCAGTGGTCCTCTTCCATGCCACTGCCTTGGAGCCAGCCTCATATGGACCAAAGCCTCTCCAAACTTGCAGTCAGAGTAAAACTTCCCTTCTTTGGGCTGGGGAGATAGCTCTGTGGTCTAAGTGCCTACCTGGCAAACACAAGGATTCAGGTTCAATCGCCAGTACTGCATGCCATGCCAGCCCCTCTAATCCCCGCACTGGGGAGGCTGAGACAGGAGGATCAATACCACTCTGAATTGCATAGTGAGACCCTGTACCAAATAAATAAATAAATAAAAGATTGATTTAAATTTTAAAAAAATGTCTTCCTCCTTTAACTTCGGGTGTTGGGTATTTTGTCTCAGGAATGAGAAAAGTAACTAAGGCAAGACTCCCTGTTAAAACAACTCTCTTGAAATACATTTTTCATTATATGCTAAAATCCTGAAAAAGCATGCAAATTAGTTCTGGGAGTTTATCCTGAGGAAATCAGCCATAAAATGAAATGACAAAGGACAACCTACGTAGACAGGTAACTGTGTTTCAGCCACCACCAGGATTTCTGAGGCAGGTGACCCACAGGCCTGCCTTGGTGAAACACTGGCCTTAATCTCCCTCATTTTGGTCCCATCTGTCATTCCTAGCTGACTGAAAAGCATATTTACATTCCTATCATTTTGTTACATCAGGACATTCTCAGATGGAAACACTGATACCTGATTAACATGTAAACTATGTTCTTTGCATGCATTTGATAAGAAATTTTATAACAGTATATGTCATAATTATATTACAGAATGCAATCACATGTTCCAGTGAGTTACACATAATTATATTAAGCAGTAGTTAGGGCAATTATATCATTCATTCAATTGTTGTAATATCATCAAGTATAGCCTGTAATGGATTAAATTCAGAAATGCTAAAATTTTACAGTGACACCCCTTGAAAAGGAGTAGAGATTGAGGTTTGTATTGTTCTGTTGGGTCCCAGTTAGGGACTGCACACAACTGGGAATTAGATGCAGTCCACCTTGTGCAGCCTTCTGCAGTTTTCTTGCTTTCGCAGCCCCAACTCCGGCCCTGCCTTCACTGTGACAGCCATTGGCCACTCTCTCTGGCTTCCCCAGGGCCTAGCTCCCCTGCTTCCCTCTGACTTCATCTCTCAGCACTGACAAAGATACTATCTCCTCTCCAAGCCCCAGGGCTGAACTTTGATTTCTGTTTTCTGTGAACTCCTAGCAGGCGAAACCTTCCATCTCAGGGCCCTCCCTGTGATCACCAGTGAGTCCCTTGGACCTGCAGGCTCTCTGGCCCTACCTCAGATGGCTGAGTCCCGATGACCTTTGAACAGGAGCCCAGGTGAGGCCCCTACACTTCAATCTTGACAAGCCCCACTCAGAAGCCTAGAGGAGGCCAACCTGTCTGCTTTCCCAATGAAGAAACCAAGATCCAGAGTGATGAGCTCACAGGCCTAAGACCCTGCAGGTGGTGATTTTGTGTGTGTGTTTTTTTTCTTTTGGCTGAACCAGGGATTGAACTCAGGCCCTTGCACTTGCCAGGGAAGTGCTTATTCCACTGAGCCATCTCCCCAGCCCAAAAGTTCAGATGGATTTTTTTTTTTTTTTCTTTTTCTGCTTCAGGATGCCTTCAGGGCAGACCTGGCAAGGCTTGAGGATCTGGGGATCAAACCACGGCATCCTGAGCCTGACTGGTTTGTTTAAGCAATCACTTAAAGAGCTGAGCTAATGGGCAGACCCCCAATTTTTATTTATTTATTTTTTTTTTCAGAACCAGGGATTGAACTCAAACCCTTGCACTTGCCAGGGAAGTGCTTATTCTACTGAGCCATCTCTTCAGACTACAGGTGGTGATTACCAGAGTCCTCCTAGGATGAAATAAAGTTTTTGCTCCATTGTTTTTGTGTTTAACTAACAGTTACAATGAAGCACCACACTGATCTCTTTTAAGCCATTCAACAAGTGAGGTATTAGTTTTCCCACTTCAGAAACCAAGCTGGAGGGCCGGCCAGATAGTTCAGTGGACTAAAGCACCTGCTTTGGCAGAGCACAGCAGCTGGGGTTCACTCCCAGCCTGCCATGCTTGCCTCACCCCTGGGGCACGCTGAGCCAGTGATTGAAACTGGGTGTGGTGGCATGTGCCTGTAATCTCAGCACTCAGGAGGCTGAAAACAGGAGAATCACTATGGGTCTGATCTCCATAGTGACATCCTGTACACCCTGTAGATCCTGTCCTAAAATTCATTTAAAAAAATTTTTTTAAAAAACCCAAGATGGAAACATACCACATTACAGTGAACAGAATTTCAATACCAAATATTTCCAGCTCCAATATATGTGCTTCCAAAAACCTATGCTTATTATTTCTAACTCATCAAAAACAACCAATTAGAAAACCAGGCCTTGTCAGACTAAAGAAAGATTTATTTCTCCTCCTTCAGGGTCTGTCCTTACTGTCCCCTGGCCTTCCTTCTCCTGAAGGTGTTTTAACTCTTCTTATAGCTACCAGTTCTCAATTTCCAAGACATTTTGCATTAGTTTCTTTACCTTCCCAGCCCCCACTAGGGCTGGGGTGGGAAGTGCACATTTGTAAGAGCACCAATGCCATCCATTCGCTCCCCTCTCCAGAGGCAATCGCCTCCCAAAGCCCCATCTTCTGACGCATGCCTTTGGGGGACAGGATTTCAACACACAAACCTTGTGGGAGACATAAACATCCTAACCAGCCCACCTTCTGTGTTGTTCTGGCAGTGTCTTCCTGCACTATATATCCACTTGGGAACAGTGAAGTGGGTGTCTTATTTTCCATCTGTGTACCCAGCCTCTTCCGTCCCCTTCTCTTCCATATTTAGCTTTGGTAAAATTGTCAGTACTCATGAGCCAGTGGTTTCCACCTTCTGCCTTTCTTCTCTCTCTAAGTCTTCACTGTGGCCCTTTAGTTCTTGATGAACTAAACTCATCCACATTCTTCTCACATGAAGCAATGCTCCTCCAAACAACTTCTCAGCTTGGAGTTCCATATTTCCACAACCTCATAACTCCTACTCCTAGGAATCTGAAAAAACTGTAAGCTTACCAACAAAATAAAAAGAAATAAAGATATAGAAACCTTGAGCTCTTGCATACAATTTCCAGATTCTAGAACAGAGCTTGAATTCCTTAAAAAAAAAAATCTATGATATTCTGGCTATTTGACCTACTGCTCTTTGTCTACTATTAACTTCTACCTTACAGGAGATGTGGGCATTTTTTCCTGTAAGATAAATATTTAATTGGATGTAAAATAGATAGATAGATAGATAGATAGATAGATAGATAGATAGATAGATAGATAGATGAGAGAAAGAGCAAGAGAGAGAGAGCAGTTATTGGAGACAAAAAAAAGTGAGAAACATATAATGGTATCAGAGGGGCTAGCAACATGAAATGAACATCTCTTGACCATGCCTGGTATAAAGATAGCTGCACAGAGACCCCAGGACTCCCCTACAAGTCTTAGCAAGCCCCCTTCCCAAACCCAAACCATTTTGAATTTCCCCCTGGTCTCCAAATGTTCTATATCACAATTAAGAAGCAGATCTTAATCCATATTTTAAAAGTATGTATTTTAATTGATCTTATGACAGATCCCTTGTTGTAGCATACATAGAGTAAAGAATTACTTTATTTATAAGATATCAAACTGGATTAAACATAAACAGGTCATTGACAATTGTATAGACACAAAGCAGGTTATCTAGCTGAATTTCGCATTTCTTGTCTATCTCTAATTTATTTTTGTGCAACAGGCATGAGTCTTGGCAACACTTTCCAGGCTGGGGGCGATGCCACATGGCAGAAAATGCAGCGTTTCTAGTCTTGGCATCTCATGAGTAGTAGCCACCACTCCTCAGACAGCAATCCTCCTCCAAAGACATCTGCTATTCCAATAGAGATTTCCAGCAACTTCAGACCTATGTCTGGATGTGTTTACTGTTCAAGGGGAAATTAGATTTCTCACAGGCAACTCTATTTGTAACCCTGACAACTTTCTTTGAAAAGGTCTAAGTCCCCCATGTGGCCTACTTCCTCCTCACCTGCACAACCCTTGTGGCTTCCCCTGCCCTCAGCAGCCTCTGTTCCCACAAGCAGCCCTCACAGAATTTTCCTTCGACATGGCTGGGAGGTCAAAATCTTGTTTCACTGCTTAAATTGACCCTGTCCAAAAGAAGGTAAGCATCTGATAGTACTACAATATGAGAGAAAAGGGAAGAGGGCTGTTACACAGTTTTTATCAGAAATTAGTACCTGCCAAATTGGTCTACTAAATTGTTTTCATTTAATGCTATTAAAATACAGAGTGAAATTTTTAAAATGGAAAATGTCCAGACTGGTATGGACTTACCCCCACTGGTTTTATAAATATTGCCAATTAGGGTAACAATTCTATCGCACAGGGAAATGAGACTAGTACAAAAGCACAAAACCAGGTAGGGGGTTCTCCATTCCTTTCCCTTGGATATTCCCACATTAATCCACGTAGGACACAAAGACCTTTCAACACTTCATTTAATTTGGCATGTTATCTCTATTTAACTAACTCACCTTTTTCTATTTTATTGACCACCTTTTTTGTGCATCTTATTTCTAACCTTTGATATTGAAAAGAAGCGTCTTGTATTTCAACAAGCATGCACTGGTGGATGACATCAAGACAGGTTCCACATTATTACACTGAAGCCCCCACAATAGTCCTTTGAGGAAAGACCCTTAGATTAACTCACCCATGTGCTGAGGGGCTGGAAGTTTCTCAACAAAAGTTAGTACCTCTGATTCCCATTCCGAGCTCCCGGACTTTTCTACTATACCACTACTAATCTTTAAAGATAAAGTCCATACTTAGGAGACCATGAGTCCCTTTAATTTATGGCTCGGGACCCAACTGAGGAAGAAAGATACCTCCTGTCTCTCAGAGATAACCCCTCTTCATCAAGTGCATGTCACTTACATCCATACAGATCTTCTAAGCCTTAGTTGAATAATTAAAATTACAGAGACTTGGAATGGGGATGTAGCTCGAGTTGAGCACCTGTGAACATGCATGAGGCCCTGGGTTCAATCCCCAGGACTGACAAACAAAAAGTAGAGACTTAAAGGGCTGTTTCCTTGTGCTGTTGGTCTGCCCACAGCTCCCCCATCAGTGGCCAATGGGCTGAAACTTCCGTTCCCTTTCTCTGTTCAACCTTCTCTCATTTCACCGACAAATTGTTCAGTTACACTACCGTGCAATGTGTGAAAATGCCAGGCTCTGATTAGGGATGAGCCCGTGAAAACTTGGGGGAAGCTACAGGTTTCAATTATATTAATGAACACACAAGTGCGATACAATCTAAAGGATAAGCATTGTGTCAAGTTTTTACAAGAAGAGAATTACATTTCACATGCATGAAAGCAACTCTCTTGTAACTTACAGAATACAAGACTAAAAATAAGCACACAGGAGGACTATTAAAATACTTATTATTTGAGTTAAATTAGAATTCTACAAGGATGGTTTCATCAAATGATTTGTGTTATTTTAATTTCCTTTCACAATCAGATTCAAATTATTCTACTTACAGGTTACATGGTTAAGCAGAAGCTCCTTAAACATCAACCTAAAAATAATATTCATCATTGTTTTTTTTTAAGGTTTAATATCAATCTGGGGCTCACCACTAAATATATTCTCATCTTTTAGGTTATCAGCTCCTGCACATACCATGTCATAGATGTTGATCTTTAAAAAAAAAAAATCTCTCTAAGACAAGAGCTTCCCATCTTGAAATATTTTAGAATTTAACAGCAGCTATCCTTGGAGCTGAAAAAGATGATGCCAGACACAGCTAAAATTCAATACTTGTTCTTTAAAGTGTGCTGACAGCAGTGTGGAGCCCTGACACTCGGATCCTACATGCAATTCTGGGCCTCAGCAGCGAGAAGTCGCCCATGGAGCAGTAACTGCTTCATGAATTCAATTTTATCGTCCATCCATAAGAAGCTATATTTCTTTAAGTAGCTTTGATCCTCGCGAGCATTAATGGTGACTGATTGCACCCTGTGTGGGGCTTCCTGGTGCATTTCCTCTAGCATATCTGTCTGAGCCATGTTGCTTCCTAATGGGAAAATAAAACTGAGGAAAGCAATAAGACTGGGCTGCACTACACGTAGACTCCCTGGCTTCTACAGCCCAACCCACTGAGTGCAAGAGTTTATGTTTATACAAGAGCATCATCATCATATCAAAGTAAGACAATGAAAAGGCTGTATGTTAACTGAATTACTGTAAAGAGAATCACATTGTAAATATGAAAGAAGGTCTTTTCTTTAGGGGACTACATTGTGAATCATTTAGTAAAATATTCTTTTGGGAAGAGAAAATGACCCACTTAGTTTATCTTTCACATGGAAACAGAATAACATGAATTCATCAGAACCTATGTGGTTTTAAGATCAAGAAAATGTGCAGCTAAGTCTCTGTACAAGTGAAAAGTAGGTTTTTTTTTCATCATGAATGTCCATGAATCACAAGAATTAGGCAGCAACAGTGATAGAAAACAAGAAGGTTTCTCTCTGAAAGCATCCTCTCCTCACCACCTATGAAGCTCAAGGTAAGCACAGGAACCACTTCACCACTACTTCCAGAGGCTGGGCTCTTGCTTTTATTGTCAACAGTCGAGACCTTCCCCACTTCAAGCACCTCATCTGCTGCTGAGGAGGATGGTGAACAAGATGCCTGCTGGGATTTGGGAATTATTGTCTTTCCTTTTCTATTTCTCTCCTGGCTAGTACCAGCCCAAGCTCAGAGCCTTTGACAAGCAGATCCCGCCTACCTACCCAGCCTCTTCTGTGCCATCTCTGTCCCCGATAGGCCACGTCTGCATGGGAACGCTTCTGCTCATGCTTCCCCTCCTCTGGAATCCTCTTGCTTCCATTCCACATCTTGCAAAGATGTGGGTAGCATCTTTATGTTCCATCAATGTGAGTCATCTCATTATTTGAACCTCAATAGCAATGGAATATAGAGTAGCAGAAAAGGGAAAGGATTGAGTCCAGAGAAGAGGAGCATAGATCTGGGATTTCTCTCTTACTAGCAAGACCTTAACCAAATGACCTGAACTTCCTCCATCTTTCCTTCTCTCTAAAATGGATTTAACCTTTATTATTTCATAGGTTCATTGTGAAGACAAAGTAAAATGATGAATGAAAGATTTCTCTGGATGTAGAAAATGTAAAATGAGTATTTGTTCTGTCTATCCTATTCACTCAGATCCTACCCCAAAAGACCCTCACTCCAGGAAAGTGGGAGTCACATTTCACTCATCATCATTGGTCTACACCGAGTTGTACAGTAGGGGATGCAGTTGAACTTATGGAAAGCTACATTTGATCATAAATTAAGACAGTTTCACATTCACAATTTTTTTTTTTTCCTTCTCACATAAAAATCCAGAGATGAGAATCCAGGACTGGGGAGGCAACTGCACAGGTATGTCAGGATCTTAACCCTTTCCAGCTTGTCTAGATGAGCCTCTGGGTAGCATCTTTATGTTCCAGGTGGCATGACAGCGAAGAAGGGCCTGGCTCTCCCCAAAGACTCTTCCTGGGATGGCATGCAACCCCTTTTGCTTGAGAGCCACAGCCCCACCCAGCTGCCCGGGAGGCTGGACAACAATGGTCTTTAGTCTGTTCTACCATACACCCAGTGTACTCAAAAGCCCTGCTGCTGAAAAAAGAAGACAGAGCTTGATACTGGAGGGACAGTTCACAGTGTCTGCCACACCAAACCCATCTCTGCATCGAGGAAGTGGGTTCTGGCAGTGACATGGGGAAAGCTAAGAATAGTTGAAATGTTACAGTAATCCTTATGGAAGCTACCTCTTGCTGAGTGTTTACTATCCGACAGACCCTGTAGTAAGCTCTTTATCCATATTGGCTCATTTGCCACTTCAGTTGCTCAAAGCAGCATAACAATTCAGATTTTTGCAGAA